ATGAGGAGGGACCTTTCTGCTTTTGCCGATTTTTCTTTTTCTTTGGGACAGGGTCTTGCCCTGTCACCTAGGCTGGAGTGCAGTTGTGCAATCACAGCTCACTGTAACTGAACTCCTGGCCTCAAGTGATCCTCCCACTTCGGCCTCCCAAAGTGTTAGGATTACAGGCTTGAGCCACTGTGCCTGGCCCCAGAGTATTTCTTAAGAATACATTCTTAGTGGTAACATTTCTGATAAAAGGGTAGGAATGATATGGTTATAAATAAATATATGGGTCAATTTCTGGGCAGCTTCACCATCAGTGGATATTAGCATTCAACATTTTTTTCCTGTTGTTCCTTTAGAATATGTAAATTGTCATCTGCAGTCTGCTTTCATTTACATTTCTTTGATTTCTAGTGAGAATTAACATTTCCCTACTATGTTTGTCTATTAATTGTATTTCCCTTATGGGAATTGTCCTGTCTTCTTACCCATTTATCTTTTGGAATCTTAATATTTATTTTACAAATTTGAATTAGCTGTTTATGATAGATCTTAATTCTTTGTAATATTCGTTAGAAATATTTCCCTCTTTAAAAAAATCTTTAGTAATGCTAATTTTTATAGTGCAATCATTTCAATTCCTTCAAAGCTTAGAAAGTTAAAGTTTCCCCAGAGAGTTGATAAACACTTTTTTCAATTATCTGCAAATTCTTCCATAATTAGACTTTATATTTAAATCTTTAATCAACCAAAGCTTATTTTGTTGTATGTTTTATTTTTAATAACTTTTTCTACTACAAAATCAATAAATGTTTATTGTTGAAAAATAGGAAAATCAAGAAGAACAAAAAGAAAAATGTAAGTAGATCCATAATTTCACATCCAGAGATAACCAATGTTGACATTTTGATGTGGGTAACTCCAAATCATTTTTCCTATATAATATTTATTTTTTAAAATACAACTGTTAGCACACTGTACAAATTCTTTAATAAGATGTGTATTAACAGCACATTAGTGCCATATTTCAGTGGCATTAAATATTCTTTTAAAATATTATTTGAGGGCTGGGCATAGTGGCTCATGCCTGTAATCCTAGCACTTTGGGAGGCCAAAGAGGGACGATTGCTTGAGGCCAGGAGTTCAAGACAAGCCTGGGCAAGAGTGAGACCCCCCTCCCTACAAAAAATAGAAAAATCATATGGGCTTGGTGGTGCTCACCTGTAGTCCCAGCTTCTCGGGAGGTTGAGGCAGGAGGATCATTTGAGCCCAGGAATTTGAGGTTGCAGTGAGCTATGATGACACCACTGCACTCTAGCCTGGGCAACAGAGTGAGACCCTGTCTCAAAAAAAAAGTCACCAAAATTATTTGAAATAGCTATAGAGGATTATGTTCTACAGATGTACCGTAACTGACTTTCTTTTCTATTGTTTTTTATTGACTTTGTTGTATCTAGGATATCACTCTTATGAATAATGGTGCTATAAGCATATGTGTAAATCTTAGTCCACATTTCTGATTATTTTCTTCATATAAATTTCTTAAAGTAGAATTGCTGGGGCAAAGGTTTTATATCTATTATCTACATCTCTCTATATCTATTTATGTATTTTGCTTTTTCATATACGCTGCTAAATAAATTTATAATATTCCAAATTCCCATCAACAGTGAATAGGTGTGTTCTCCCCTTCTGCCCCACCTTTCATTTCTGTTAACATTATTTATTAACATTTTTACAGCTTTATGCTAAATTGGTAAGCCAAAATGATAGGTACTTTTTAAATTTAAATTTTAAATTTTTTGTTAATATGAGATCACTTTATGTTGCTCAGGCTGGACTCCAACTTTTGGGCTCAAGCTGTACCTTAAAGATATTTCACTGTTCTTATTGTCAGTGCGAAAGCAGTGGAGAGTTTAACTGTAGCTTCTAAATTAACCTGCTTTTTTTCTGGCTTCTTTAAGACTTTTCTTTTGTCTTGATTACCAAAGTTTCCTTTTGATGTATTTAGTTGAGCATTTATTTTTATTTATTCTGCCTGGGCTTCTTTTGTTGATAGATACTTGTGTTGTTTATTTTTTTTGTTTTGCTATTACAAATACTGTTGCAATGGACATTACATTATCCACAACTGAAAACGTCTAGAATTTATTCCTAGAAGTGTAATTGCTGGGTGGGATGATATGTGTCACTTTGGTGTTATTAGATGTTGACAATTTATTCTGCAAAATGGTTAGCCCAAGGAACACATCATCAACAAAATGTGACTGTTCCTTCAATTTCTCCACATCATCCCCAAAACTTGCTAAGTGTCAAATTATTTCATTTTCACCAGTTTGATGGATGTAAAATGGTATCTCGTTGTTTTAATTTTCATCTTTCTGATTACTGGTGAGATCGAACATCTTTTTATGTGTGTCATTGGTCATTAGAATTTCTCTGCTGTAAATTGCTTGTTCATATCTTCTGTCCATATTTCTATTAGTTCACTGATGTTTTCTACATCTTTTCTTGCCAATTTTATATTTCGTGTTGTCCATGTGGCTAAACATTTCAAATTGATTATCATAAATTGTGCCTTGCCGTCATTTATATTTTAAAATCCTTTATATCAATTGTTAAATCACCAGTCTTGGTTTTAATTGTGTTGATTTATAACTTTTCTCTTATTTATTATATTTCTAAGGGTTTTATCTATCTTATAATCTATTCA